CGTTCTGTACCCTGAGCCGCTGCGGCTCAAGTACTTTATTATGAAGGTATTATTAGCCTGAAACATTTCTTAACAAATCAATTTTTTAAAAAAGAACATTAAAAACATTTTCAAAATTCTTTATTTTTGTAACATGGCTTTTACAACAAAATATTAGAAAATGCTTCCACACAGAAATGCATTACTTCGAAAATGATATGATATAGCTGCCAGCATTTAGGATTATTCGAATTATTTCTCTCAATGGTAGTGAGAAAAAAAAAAGGATTTAAAATACGTATGTATTTTACATACGTATACATTCCCCCTCAATAAAATGTTTTAATAATATTTCTTAAAGCCGAGAGAGCCTGGTTGGCAGGGCGCCGGTTCGTGAGAATGGGAGTTCGAATCCAGACGGCCCAAGACTCTCCGCATAGTAAATGGTGACTGCTGAACGTTGAATCTGTCGGATCACAAAGTCCTCCAAGTACCCATAACAAATTCTACCTCTGAGGGTACTGAATTGGAAATGGATCATTCTCTGGTTCAGGTCAAAATTACGATTTGTGGATCAATGAATGGATGTATGAATAGGGCCACTCTATAAACTGATGTGACGTAAGGGTGTGACTGAAATCGAATTCTTAGCCATAGATGGCACCACTGGAAAACAAAGAACAATCGCACCCCTTGCCTTCATGACCTACGACAACAGCAATAGTATTTCTTCTTTTAAAAAAAAGTCTACCTTTTAAATATTTTCCTACTCATCTTATTAATAAAAATGACAGAAGACTGGTACGCATCAATTTTATTACCCCCGTTATAGTTTTTCAAAAAGCCTAAAAATTGGCAGCTATGATATGATATTCTTCTTCTTACTACTAAAAATGAAGTTTTTGGCTGAGGAAAACAATCAGAGAAAAATTGACGTTTAAAAAAGAAAATTTGATTGTATAAAGCACTAACAAATAATTCACAAGAAATGCATAAATCAACGACAATGCATAAAATTAAGAAATTGCAATGCATTACAAAACTAAGCTCTCCTCAATGGCTAGATAAAGTTATGCGACATAATGTATCAGATTATCTTTTGTTTCTTCAACAATCAAAACTAACGAATACAAAAGCAATGAATGAGGAGAACTTTAACAAAATATCCATTGATATTTGAGATCTATAATTGAAAAACCTTTCAAAGATATGCTAATAAATCAAAACAAACATTACGAAACAAAATTATAACAAAAAAAAAGTAAAAAAGGAAAGAATACAGTTGTTTAGATTTATATTGTTCTGTTATGTAGTTTAATTTATTTTTGTAAAATAACATATTTATTTGATATCATTTCATTCGAAATGATCATATAAAAGAGTTATAAAGTACAATTGATAAAATAAATAATCATCATATAACTGTAAAAAATTATTTTTAATTGATTTTTAACTCTTAAAAAAATCTTACTTCTTTTTCAAATCGATCTTCATTCGCAATATTTTTTGCTTCTTTTATTATTCTTTTTTAATTATTACTTTACATTAAAAAATTAATTGAAAATACTGAAACAATCAATTTCAAATCTAATTTACATTTTATGAGAAAAATTTTAATATTATTAGCAGTTATTCAATTCTAAAAGCAGTAAAAAATCGTTTTTAAATAATAAATTCAATTTTTAATCTAAAATGTTATTTACTTTAAAGCAAAAAAAAAATAATTTCGATAAATTAATAATTGTTTCAGTTTCTTATTGTAAAATAGTTTTAAACCCAGTAGGAATTAAATGTGTACTTTTTTTAAACTACTTTTAAAAGTACAAAATGTATTTTATCAAACGACTAAAATAATGAAATAGAATTTATGAAAAAAATTTCTAAAACCTAAATATTTTATAACAATATTATAACTTAGTTTTGAAAAATAGAACATTTATTTCTGTTTTTTAAGCAGTTATAACTATTAAGTATATTTTAATGCAAACCTCCACGAATACTAAGTAAGAAGACACACATATATTTCTAAAAGCACTTTAAAATTTTATTTAATGGCAGTATTACTAAAATAATTTTTTTTCTTAAAAAACAAAAATAATCCACAAGTATCTCAAATGGACATACATGCTATAAATAATTATTATTCATTTAGCAGCATTTTAATTAATTTACAAAAATGTAGAATATGTGCAGTATAATTAATTATGACATGTAAAATTTATATCGTTGTTTGATTTAACCTAGACATTTTATTATGTAGGTCATTAATAGAAACAAAAATGAAAGTAAATGCGTTATTGTTATTAAATATGGACACAAAATGTCTAATGAAATTTAACACTTGATATAAAATACAGGCAAAAAATTGTCTTTGTAAATATTCTAATTTTGAAATATACCCAATGAAGTATTTGTAGAGTAACTTCTAATTTTGCTAGCTGATTTTGTTTTTGCCTACCTAATTCTGATTTTGCTAGTGCAAAAGTGAATGAGGAACTTTACTACCATCTGAATATCAAAACAAATGATGTAGTTTGTTTTTAAATGGTTTGAAAATTCTTAAGAAAATAAACAAAAATGTAGAAATAACATTCTGTAGATCAAAAATTTTAATTAACTTAAAAATTCGAGAAGTTTAACTTCTACGCATTAATCTTTAATGGCATAAATATTATGATTACGCCAACATCAAAACTGTTTAAAAAAATTAAATCATTTCAATAATAAGATGACCTAAAATAAGTTATTTTACAACAAAAGCAATCCTGCATAAAACCTTATAAAGAAATGTTTTGTGGTAAAAGAAATGCAGATTTTTTAAAACTTCAGAAGAAGTACTTCGAATAAAATGGCCTTCTGCAAACTATGCTCGTCTCATCTTAAATTGTTACAAGATATGAAGAAAAAAATGCATTCAATAAATGCATCAAAAAACTTATTAAGAATTATAAAACTATAGTAAATATATCTGATATAGAAATGAGTCAATTATGTAAAAATTTTGATTAAGAAATATTTTAATATATTGAACATGTAAGTATGCTAAAAATTAGTATTTAAACCTTGTTTTAATGTTGCAACTTTTTGAATTGCACAATATAAGATGATATATATATAGAAACACTGTAGTAAAAGGACGCAGTTTATATAATAAAAAAGCTGTTTAAATACATGGCAAGAATTCGAATTTTAAAAAGATTTGAATAAAATTATTAAAAAAATCATCACTAAGGATATTTTTGTTCATATGAAGAATTTTTACAAAATGTGTAAAAGTCTTTAATAAATATTTTTTAAACAAAAGAAATTATTGTTTTTTTAACATATAAAAAATTCTTAAGCTCAAATTACACATGTTCACAATGTTTCCACAATAATATTTTTTTTCATTGCTTTTTTTTACGCTAATAGTAAGATCAGTATTATCTTTAGTAAAAATATTTTTAGAAAGATCAAAATTACAAGAATTAATCGATGGTTTTTAACAAAATAAATATTGTAAAAAAAGCAATAAACATAAATTAGAATTCGCAAGTATTGGATATCTTTAGGACGCAGTTTCTTCCCCCGCACTAGGAATTAAAAATTCATATGTAGTAGTTGTACGTTCTCAGCTTAGTGACTTTAAAAAATTATATTATCAATCAAATAAAAATTTATTAGGTTCAGCACTTTCAAGATAAATAAAATTTAAACAATTATAGATACTGGATATTTAAATAAACAATTAACAACAAATTTAATAAATTGTTACGATTTAAAATGGTTCAAATTAAAGTTTATTAAAAAAAGCACTTGTATGTAAAAATGTAACTTGCAGTGAAGGGAATGAAAAATATTAAGTTATAACATCCAAGATCTATCGAAAAATCTAATAAATAAATCAAATCTATATCCACATATAAAAATAATAATATGACGAATAAGTACGAAAAATACAGCTTTTTAAATCTTACAAAATAATTAAAAATTCATTTTGATTTATTTTGGGTGTTGTTATTTAATTATTAAGCAGGTGTATGAAATATGTTTCCATTGTTTGAATTTTTATTACAATTGGATTCCAACAGGTTCGAAAGCAAAAAAAAGAAAGAAAAAAAAAATTTCAAACGCATCTTTCATAAATACTTTTTTTTCCATTTAGTTCTTCAAAAGGCACACGGTTTAATTGATATAATTATCTCATGATGGCAGACATATAAATTTGTTTAGACATAAATACGAAAAAAATTTAAAAAATAATAAAAAGAAAAGTGCAGCTGCAATAGAGTAAAGCTAATCACTAGCTTTTTATTCTCCTATTCGAAACTGCTGTTATTAGAAACTTAAAATTAAAAAAAATAATAAGAAGAAAAGTGCAGCTGCAATAGAGTAAAGCTAGTCACTAGCTTTTTATTCTCCTATTCGAAACTGCTGTTATTAGAAACTAAATGTGTTTTAATGCAGAATATTGTTGTGCAACAAACAAAAACATGCAATATTTTAACTACAAAAAGTTTGCATGTGTAATATAACTTATAAGTATTCATTGTGAAGTGTGAATAAATTCTTCATAATTAGAAATTCTGATAACCTATATTATATTCATCATGAAAATAGTTATACGAATAAATGCAGTTTAAAACATTAAAACTATATTGAAAAGGCTACAGTGAACACCAAAACCATTAAAAATTTATGTATATATATATGTTGTTTGATATTTGTTTGATGGTTTTTCTTTGAGTTATTAGTTTTTCTTTCAGCGCTTTACCCCTCTGTTTACATTAATTGTTGTTTACCGAGCTTTTAATAATAACCTATTTCTGAAATGTATAATTAGTTTGGCACAAATTGAATAAGTTTTTGCTATTTCTTTTAAAATTAGGGTTAATTTGAAAAATATTTTATTTCTAGTAAATATTTTTTAAATGTATGAAACCAAATTATTAGGTCATTTTTATCTTTTTTACTTGAGACATAAAAAATTTCAAATCGCAAATTAAAAACTTATGTGCCTGGAGCATTTTAAGACTTGATAAATTAAAAAAAAACTGTCAAGACATTCTAATAAACGTTTTGGAAACTTACCATCATTAAGTTTATAAATTATGTGTTAAATTTCAGTAAAATTAGTTATTTGTTACAGGAATTGATTTTAGATGTCCACTGTAGCCTAAAGTAATTTTCAATTAAATAATCTATAATTGATCTAAAAAATGTTCATGTAAGTCTTTGGAAGACTGCCTTGAATTCCTACCTGACTCAGCTTTCGAATCCTCCCTCGAATCCGAATCTTGCTTTTGTTGTTTTTCCAGCAGAGTTGCTCTCACTGCAGACAAGTAAACAGCACAGTGTACTTTCATGTAAATAGTCTCACCAGCCGCAACAACGGTATAGTCTGGAACAAAGACTTTAAAAGGCGAGTTCTCGGGACTATTAATGTTACTGGTAGTCGATATTTCGAAATTGTTCATCATAATTGAAGGAAGACCAAAAGAACTGAAAGGTCCGGTCTCGAACACCAGATTCTCAAATCCCACTGTGACGATGCAGCGCCCTTCCAATATGAGAACAAAATAATCTGCAGGCTTTCCATTCTGGAATAATACGTTCGATGGAGAAAGTAAATCTTCCTTTCCTGATTTGGCCTTGAAGTACACATCTTGGGACATTAACTTCTTTAAAACCGATTCTGATATGTAGTTGCTTTTGAAGGGATCAACTGAAGTTGATAAGAACTGATAAGTTGCCAGCGCAAGTTGAGGTGATATAGCTGTTGATTTTTTGTCGCCAATTCCCAACCTAGCAAAATCGGAAAAGTCCTGTTTGATCTGAGACTCCTTCCTGACTCTTTTTCTCCTGTTATCTGTGAGAACATCAGTTTCGTCGATGATTTCTGATTGTATTATCTCCTCAATCACATCTTCTAACGTGACGATACCAGTCAATTCATAGAATGGGTCGCCATCCGCTTCGTTATTGACGCGTCGAACAAAAGCCATATGGGACCGTCCCTTCTTAAACTCATTCAGCATGACGTCCAGTGTGGTATCCTCAAACACGAAATTAATGGGATGGTTATAAAACTCACATAAAGTTTTCAGTTGAGTCTCAGTATCTGGATCAACAAATGCCAAATCCTTAATATTCAACAGAGCCACAATGTTATTTCGGTCACCGTCGAACACAGGGATTCTGGAATATCCTTGTTTAATAATCTCAGATACTGTTTCAAAGTCTAAGACGGCGCTGTAGGGTACCATGAAAACGTCATTTATTTTCGTCATGACATCAGCAACAGTCTTTTTTGTCAGTTCTAAAGCACCAGATATGATATCCACTTCCTCGTTATGCAAATCATTGAAATCTTTGGTGACCCGGATGAATTCCATTAATCTCTTTCTGTTATACACATTGCGAATCTCTTCACCCAGTACACAATCCAATATTTTGCTGATTGGAAAGGAGAGTGGAAACGTTAGAACCATAAATACCTTTGTCACCCACAAAGTCTTTGCACCAATAGCCAGGCCATGTCGAGAACAAATAGCTTGCGGTATTATCTCCCCGAAAATAACTATACCAAAAGTTGACACGATGACAGCGATTATCCCCGATGTCAAATCGTCTAATAATATAGTTAGAGTATTGTTCACCAAAACATTTCCCAAAAGAAGTGAACAAAGCAAATAATTACTTTGTTTTCGCACTGGATATATCTTTCTGGCATGCTTTTTCTCAGATTCGGTACCACATTTTTCAAGGACCAGTAATTCGGTGCATTCTAAAGACATTAATCCAAGATTCAAACCGCTAAACAATCCAGATAAAATTAGAAGGAAGCATAAAATCACTGATTGGAGTCCTATAGGTAAAATACGTCCCACTGGTCTCAAAGCTAATTGTAATTCCCGACCTTGATGTAACCAACTAGGGATCGACCCCCTTTTATCTTTCACGCAAATGTAATAAAGTCTGTTACCATCCAGAGGTGGTAATGAAATGTCAAATTGTATAACTTTATCAGATAGTACATTTCCCTGTGACAAAGATATCACCTTGATCAACGGAAAATTGTCACATTTACTACCTCTAGGCAAACTCTCATCAATAAAAGCGATATCCGAATCAACGTTAAAATGTGTTCCGAATAAAAATAGTTTTACTTTAACGTTGGTTGGAATACTGACGATTCCATCGTCGTCATTGTGAACGCGATCTCCGTGGGCGCGAATACCGGAGATCGTCGGCGGCTTTTCGCACTGGCTTACGATAGTAACGCCGCCGTCTCTGGGATCGACATGACTGTAGCGAGCACTTCTCTGCTGGACACAAATCTTCCGGGGTGAGCTCGACGATGGGTAGAGAGATTCGTTAAGATCGACAAAAATCGCCGAATCATGCCTGTGATGATGAATCAAAGTCTCTTTGAGAATCGTAATGTCAGTGTTCAGAATGCTGAAGTTTCTTTCGATCAAATCAATAAACAAGTTGTACTTGGCGTCGATGTTCGTTAAGTTCAGTCCGTAGATGCCGGTGGAATTACTGTTTCTAAAAGCAGGATTCAATGATTTAGTGTCGCTGAATGAAGTATCAGACGAGACGGTGAAACAGGGATTGATAAGAATAAGAATTAAAGCTAACGTTCCTATTCTTTTCGTACACAACACAAACATACAGCACATGTCAAAGCAGTAAATCGATAATAGTAGGATTTTCTCACACAGCGTGGGGTGAATAGAATGGATCTCCTCTCGTCGGCTATTCTGAAATATATCTTATGAAACAAATTAAATCATGCGATGAAGGATAAAAATAAATAAATTGACGTGATTTTTAGGAGAAAATCCTCGTGGCTACGATATTTTCTCTTGACCGAACGGCTACTGCTAGCTGAAGATCAAACAGAGATCAAATTGTTAGAAACAAACCCGACAGATGGCACTAGTGCATTGCATCCTTGCCAGGAAACCACGCTGTCTATCATCCGGATTTATTAGGAAAAAGGAGTTCCTTATTGCTGACACGTTTTTGTGTTTAGTCTTCACTCGAAAAGAAATTGGATGCTGTTTGTTTCAAAACAAACTTTTTCATTGAAAGATTTTGACGTTTTTTTTAAATATTTTATAAAAGAAATTTAAATTAAATTAATTTTTAGTGTTTCGAGGATAAATTTTGATTTATTATTGTTACACGCTTTTATGTTTTGTCTTCATTCGAAAAGAAATTTGATGCTGTGTTCTCTAACTTTTTCGTTGAAAAATTTTGGCGTGTTTTTTTTTATTTTTTTTTATGAAATTATTTTTTTAGTGTTTCGCGGATAAATTATGATTTATTATTTTTATTTTAATAATGTCATTTTTATTTGAAGTTTGAATGTCTATAAAAATTGGAATAATAAGGAATTAAAAAAACTAGTTGTAGATGACAAAGATAATGGTTATCACCATTTCATCTTTGAGGGAAAAAATAACTTTGTCACTTTCATATACAGGTTTTGAGTTAATTTTTAGAGATCAGTGAAACATACAAAGGAAATGTCATAATTTTTGAATTTTTTCTAAAAAATTCTTGAATTAAAATACAAAGTTTATTCGTGCCAATATCGTTCATCGAAACTTGATCAATAAATGAACAGGAATTGAGATGACTGAATGAAAAGCAATCTTTGATTGAAGTAAAGGGTAAATGTCTAAAAGTAAAAGTCTGACTAGAAGTCTATGAAGTCTAAAATCAAAAGTAGATAAAAATTCAAAATGTAAGGCTAAAAGTTGATTAGTAAAAATTAACGATGACATGCTCTATTGTTGGTTCATGNAATACAAAGTTTATTCGTGCCAATATCGTTCATCGAAACTTGATCAATAAATGAGCAGGAATTGAGATGACTGAATGAAAAGCAATCTTTGATTGAAGTAAAGGGTATCTGTGCCTATAATATTTTTTCGCAAAAATTTTTTTATTCATTGCTGTAAATATAATTTTGGCTTCTTAAAAACATAAAACTATAGCAATACACTTTTAAGTATAAAATACCTTTAGAACACAAATATTCAACGTTCCATTTCTTCTTTTGATTCGAATAATGCATTTTAATGTAATTATCTAATATCATAATGTTATTGTCAATATATTTCTTACAAAACTATATCTTTTTAATCAGTTTATTAGGCCAATTCCGAAATATTTGAATACGAAAATAATTAAGGTAAAGCTGGATATCATTTTTAAAAAGATAGTATATCAGAAGTTTTTGCCGGTACAGTGACTATTAATTGTTCTTTATTCGTCCAATTTATTTCAATAACAAAGACGATCATATCGACGTCAGAATCTACACACTATTCGCCGGAAGCGAATTAGTGTACGTCACTTCCGTGTATCTTGAATATGCCTTACTTGCTGTTAAAATCTCATTTTAAAAATTTTAACATTAATGACTCATGTTTTGAAGTACACTGTTTTTCATATTATAAACATATTGTATTTTAAACTGCAGTATCAAAAATTTATGACACATTGAACTTTCTCATATAATCTGTAAAAGTTTAATGTCATAAAAGCACACGAGGGCATCTGCATAATTAAATTAACTACCAAAAATACTAGGTAGGTAGATAAGTACTTTATTTACGTCGCACTAGAACTATACAATGAGCTATTGGCGACTGTCTGGGAAACATCCCTGGGGATGATCCAAAGACATGCCATCGCAATTTTGATTCTCTTCAGAGGGGGTGGCCCCCTCTGCTTTGGAAGCCAGTCGACCAGCGAGCAAAGTCGAGCACTTTACGGTAGAACAGATTAACAAGGACGATAACGCGCACACTCGGACTCTAGGCAGGCTGATCAAAGTGGTCACCCACCCGCTTACTGACCAGTGATGTTTGACTTCGGTGTTCTACTGGGAATCGCGTCTTTACGATCTGTTCACTGCGGGACCCAAAAATACAAATTTTAAATAAATAGCTTAGGAAGACGCTATACCACGGAAAAAACCTTTCATCGTGAATTCTGTTTTGCGTTCATAACTAATTTAAAATTTGAAGTATAAAAAAGTGAGTTCTAGCAAACCTAGAGTAAACCGTGAAGTTTCAAATACTAAAATGGAAATTTATAATATCAAAATGCAAACAAATTAAAGACAGAGAACTGCGTAATCCCAAGTTATCCTTTCATAATTTGTTTTCATTTTGATTCTGTGAAAATTTCAATTCAGTATTTAAAACTTTACGACTTACTCTAGGTTTGCTTGAACTCACTTTTTTCATAATTAAAACTTTAAATTATAGTTAAGAACGCGAAACAGAATTCGCAATGAAAAGTTTTTTCCGCGGTATAGCGTCCTATTAATTTTAGATACCAAAATGCATTTTAGATAATATATACGGATTTTTTTCTAAACAAAATAACTCAGCAAACTTTAAAATCTGAGAAAACTAAAAACTGAAAGGAATTTGAAAAAAAATTTTCGGAAAGAAAAAAAAAGTTTAAAAATTTCCAATTGAAAAAGTATTTTCTTTCCGGAATCCCAGTTTTTTAGAAGAAAAAAAAAAAGGGGGGGGGAATCTTTCTCAACTCAATTAATAAAAAAAAGAAAGAGTGAATTCTAAAGAAAACATAAAATGGAAGGAAAAAAAACTTAAATAAGGCTGATTGGAGGTGTAAAGATCTGTTGCAAGAATCTGGCAAAGCAATTATGGTCGCTAATTTAGAGCCTTGTTCCTCTATTTATCCTGAAATACCTCTGCTTGTCGAAACACGTTTGGTTTAATGCCGCACTTCAAACGGCTTTTGGTTAGCCAGGCCAACCAAATAAATCCTCATTTAAATTTTCTATCCTAATTAAATTTTTAAAACTCCTGATAAATTTCTGTTGGAATAGTTTTAACGGAAATGTACTTTTCAATATCTGTTTTAAAAAATGTTTGCATGTACTTTATATTTATGTAAAAGTTTCGAATAAAATAAGGGCTTATTGTATCATGGGACTATACATTTTATAATTATTGTTTATATATTATTTCACAAAAACTAACTACGTTGCAAGAATATTTATACTGAAATAAGTATGACGCCATTTAATATATGATGCTATGATATGATTGGCATCTGTAAAAGTATTTGCCGGTGATGCTAAGATATCTTTATCATCTATGAAGATATCAGCCAATGATATCATTGACCTTTTGCTAATTATGAATGCTATGAATTGAAGAATGAGACGTGATGGGTATATATTTTTGATATTTTATAAACTATGTTAGTGACAATCCTTTTTTTTAAAAATATTTACTGTGAAATTTAAATTTATTTAAAGCTTATTGAAATATATATTTTTTAAAGTAGATTTTAATATTAGTACATTTTCATTTTTGTGTGTGTGTACATGTATGCCTGATAAATATGCTTATTTCAAAATAATCATGAACATCCTATTTAATTTATTCAGGGCAACATCACCACCATTTGCGAGCTTTTGCCAATGCATTTGGACAGAGGACGCACTTCTTTGACCCTCGACTCGTTGATCCTCTAAGAGAATGGGAACAATTCAGAAGAAAAACAGCTGAACAATGGGCACTCGATTTGCCCAGAAGAATGGGCGCTACACCAGCTGGTAAGCTTTTCATAAAAATAAGGACCCTTTTTCAAGAGGTCCATCTAACTCTCTTTTTTTTAAACGAGAATGTCTTTTCTAGAGTCGTGATGGTTCAGGGTATAGTGCATTCGCCTTCCAATGAGGTGATCCGGATTCGAATCCCAGAGATGACTGGTCAATATGAATTCCGCATCCGACTTGCACCGACCACAGTGACCTAAAATATTCTCTGTGGTAGACTGATCATGTGTTAGAGTCCCCTTGCCGTTAGGGAATTTTTCGTGGCTTTTCCTTCAATATAACGCAAATGAGGGTTAGTTCCATCAAAAAGTCCTCCATGAAGGCAAACTTCTCCCAATACTTGATCCAGGAGTTCCCTAGTCTTCTGGATTGGGTTCAAAATTATAAGGCTACGGAGTTGAACATTAGTAGTCGCAAACCCAAAATTTGGGTCGGTTGTTCAAAGACGGTTATAAAATAAAATAAAATGTCTGTTCTACTAAGGTTTTCAACATTGACCGGTAAACAAAGTAACGCTTTAACTTTGGAGCAGATCTTAATATTTGAAAAGTAGATTTCCAAATTTGAAATATTTTCAGCCATAAAAGCAAAGGTACTAACCAGCTAAAAAAAAAGCTTCGAGGCTATTATTTTCATTTTTAAACTTCTCTTACTTTAAATATTATACATATCTAATCAAATATATTAATTACCATGATGCTATAGAGATGTCTAAGCCAGAGTTTGACTACATCTATAAGTGGAAAAAATCAAACCGTTCCCTTAATTTTGTCTTTGTGAATGGCAACAAGCTAGTTGCACTATGCCAATTGGACGATACGTATTATCAGCCCAATAGAAACGTATTCCTATTTGTTACTATCTAACTGATTAATCATTAATGAATTGCCAATGGGCTGGTAAGTGACGCCAACTTCGACAGCTCTATAATACTATTATATGTTCACAAAGTACAGCTCAATTTTTTTTATAATACAAACTAAGTCACATGTTCGTCAAATTACAACCAAAATCTTTATTGTATGGTAAACCATTCGTCGCACGTAACAATAACGATTTAACTCAATTTTTTGCTCTTAGTTCTTCAATGTAGTTCCGAAGTTAGACGTTCACTTTCCACTGAGGTGACCAAGATTCGATTCCCAGCAATATTTGGTCTACATGAATTGCATGAATTTGGTGAATCCGCAACCACCTGAGTGCTGACTTAAAATATCTCCAGTGATAGACAGATCATAGGAAAGAATCTCCTTGCCGCCGAGCTAAACGTAAAGGTATTTGCTACTCAAATGCAAATTAATTTCATCAAAGAAGTATTTTACGATGTCTTTCACTTGTCAGTCCCGATGTTTGATTCAGCAGTTCCCTTGTCGTCACGGTTGGATTCAAAAGTACGAGGTTACAGAATTGAATATTCATAGTCGTATGCTCAAAAATGGGTGCAGCAGGTTATAAAATAAAATATATATTTCTGGTGCAACGTACAACACATTGCATTGCAACAGCAAATCTGAACGTTAAATTTGTTTATATTATTATTTAAAGAATATTTGAGATGCATTTCAACAGTATGTAAAAATATTCTTTGTTATTTTATTTAAAAAAAAAACTTTTTAAACCCTATATATTTCACATAAGTTTCCTTTGAGACCCAGCGGCTCTAACTTTATTTTGACTACAAGTTGTTGAATAATTGAGAATTTTAGTATCAAGATTAAACATTCATAGGTAATATTTTTTTCTACATAAAGGACTATTTGTAAAACTATGATGAGCTACACTTTTTCAAATAGTGAAATTTCTTTATATCGAATCAAACTGTTCCTTAATATTTTTTCCAGACTGGAACTTAATAAATTTCCTGAATTATATAAAAGCATATCACACAAAAAAATCTTGTTGCTTCTATGGAAATTGTAGGATTTTTCACCAAAAACTCTCTATGTGGCTTTTCCTTATAATGCCGTCCATAAGCTAAATGATTAGGTTTAAACATAAAATCAAAAAATGTATCTTTCAAGCAACTTAAAAAGAGTCCAGTAGATATAGTGGGGGAAAAAAATCGTGGATAAATACGATAGCAAAACCGTTTATACGCAATCCCTTTTCTCGTAAACTGTTCATATCCAGATACGTTCTTAAATTACCCCCAACTCTTTGAGAAAGTCGGGCCAATTCTTTATTTATCCATCTTTAACTCCTGGAAATGGGATTAAAAAAGAAATTTTCAGAGATGATCATTACTCCATTTGGCCATTTCGGAAATTGAGCTGTAACGCGTTAATTGCCTCCTGATTTCATATGACCATTTCTCCTTTTGCCAAAAAAATAAGAGAGCTTGCTTGATTGAAAAAAAGAGAGCTATAAGTCAAGCACCAATAGTCACCGGGTGAAAGGATTGTGGTTCATGGGACCACAGTGGTGCTTTATCCTACTTAAGGGTAGCCCAGATAAAAATGACATGCCTCATACATCAATGGGGGTGGGTTTATGCCTTCCCCCCATTTCTTTTCGCCATCGGAAGTTGGGCTCATTAGTAAAAGGAGTCTTTAAATCTCATTCGAGCTGTAATTAAGTTAAGCGATCGATCGTAAATACGAAAGATTGAAACAATGAGGAAAAGTTTCCAAACGTTTCGTCTTCATTAATCTGGGTTTTGTTCCTCGCTGCATTACCCCCCTACCCCTCAAGCGTTTTCTTTATGTCTTCTGGGTCATCAACGTTGTCTCTTCCCTGCATTGTTTTTGTAGAATGACAAACATTGTTCGAAAGAGAAACTTACATTTGGGTTATTGGCTAAACTGTTTGGGATTTATATTCTTTAAGACCTTTGTTGGAATAACAAATAAAAAGACTTATTTGCATTTCAGTTTTACTGTTTGTTTGTTTTTTTCCCTATCACTGGAATCTCAGAGTAAACTTACGTTTGACTGTTCATTCTCCCAGTTTCGTGATTTTGAACTTAACTCAGAAAGGTACTTTATCATGTGAAAATTTGGGCACGTTAATGGCGAATCACGAAAACTTCTCCCGGTTAATCCGACTGAAATTGGATTCTAATCCGTAAATTCTCTTTAGTAATGAAGATGTTTTATTTCTACAGCGTTATTAAACCACCGGAACAGGAATCGAACGCAATTGACAAATCATCGAATTTGACCGCCTGTATGTAAAGCGAATTTTCCATTCATTGAGATACAATCGAAATATATATAGAGTGATAAGCCACATTTTTTCCAAACGTGACATTTTTACACTTAAATGGTCCTTGGTATTGTTATAGTATTATACACATAGATAGCTTAAAAGTTCCCAGAATTTCCTAAAAATAACAAAATATTGCATGTAACATCTTATTGTTTACAAGCTAATCGTGGTGCTTTTTTTTTACCAAATATGCTCTCCTGCTAAATTTGGAAATATGCCTTACGAATAGGTTTTATATTAAAATCCTCGTTGAAAAGAGACCGAATTTTCAGTTTACGGCTACTAATGTTCTCCGTATTCTTGTAATTTTTAACCAATTTAACTCCTGGATCAAGTATAGGGACTCGTACTTTTGAACCCAATCCTGAAGACAAGGGAACTCTTGAACTGAGTATTGGGAGAGTTTTTCCTTCATAGAGGTCTTGCATGGTGACGAAAATCTCCCACGGTTAGTCTGACATCATTGAGGATATTCTATGTTATCACTGTGGTCGGCGCAAGCCGGGTGCGGAATTGGTACCCCTTAACATCTACCTGAATACATAAACTTTGTCGCAAATCTACCACAGACAGAGGTGAACTCACTAAACTGGTAGCCAGGAAGAGTACATAGAGCACTATGATTCCCAAAAGGCTACAATGAAATTCCTCCCAAAAAATTACAACTCAGACTTACTATTTGCCAAACTGGCAAATGATGTAAATAACTACGTTGCAAAACTTATTTCTGAATCTTACTCAATGTAAAATACACTTCGGTATTACTCATTACCAATCATCAAGCAGCAAGCCGAGGTGGCTCAGGAGGTAGAGCGTTTGCATTTCCATGAGGTGAACCGGGTTGGAATCCCAGCGATGACTGGTCGATACGAGTTCCGCATCCGGCTTGCACCGACCACAGTGCTGACGTAAAATATCCTCAGTGGTAGACGGATCATGGATTAGAGTCACCTTGTTGTCGAGCTAACCGTGGGAGGTTTCCTCACATGTAACGCAAATGTGGGTTAGTTCCATCTAAAAAGTTCTCGTTGAATGCAAATTTCTTGCAATACTTGATCCAAGAGTTCCCTTGTCTTCTGGATTGGGTTCAAAATCACAAGGCTACGGAGTTGAACAAGGCTAGTCGTAAACCCAAAATTGGGTAAGCTTATGAAAGACGGTTATAAAACAAAAATGAAATCATCAAGCAGCAATTTTGGTAGATAAATCTCAGTATTTATATTCTTCAGTCTTGAAGTAAAACTTTTTAGTTTGGTATTTACTTACAGAAAATATTGAAATTCCGCAGCGGATTATAAATATTTTTTTTTATATTAAAAATAACATTCTAAGTAAATCGAGCGCATTAAAAACTAGGAAAAGTTTTAATCAGAGATAACTTTAGTTTAATTTTTCCTTTATGATTCTAGACTCGAGCATTCTCCATTCATTTCCTATTATCTAGAAGAGCACGCTATTGACGTGTTTACTATTTCTGACTTTATAAAACCCTCGAAAAGTCCAGGATCACGATATGGTGGTATTATGAGTGATTTTAGTCCCATTGTTTCCGGTCACGTGAGACTCTCAGTACCGGAAACAAAGAGAGTGATATCCCCATGGAAACGTAGATTATCCGAACTTTGAAGTCCAAAATCAACTTGATGAACTTGGGCGCCAGAATTGCCCGATATCCTGTTTAATATTTCAAGATAAAAGGTCAGATATATAGACGTTTTGTACTATAAAAGGGAATTCGATAACAATAAAATATCATTCAAACCACATGCAACTGCATTATAAATCCAGTT